GTGCCCCAAACAGACTTCTAAATAAATGGAAAAGCCTTTTCCTGGAAGAAGACGCCATCTAGGGCTTTCACAGCTAGAGAAGAGCAGTCAGTGCCTGGCTTCAGTGCTTCAAAGGACGGGCTGACTCTATTGCTCATAAAGTCATCAAGCTAATGCTGCTGATGACTTTAAGTTGAAGCTGCTGCTCGTTTACCATTCTAAAAATCCTAGGGACCTTAAGAATTAAGCTAAAACTACTCTGTGCTGTATCAGTGGAACAACAAAGCTTGGATGATGGCATATCTGTTTACAACACTGTTTACTAAATATTTTGAATCCAGTGTTGAGACCTACTGCTCAGAAAAAAAAGATTCCTTCCAAATAATGACTGCTCATTAACAATATACCTGGTTACCCAAGAGCTCTGACAGAGATCTACAATGAAATTAATGTTGTTTTCATGGCTGTTGATATAACATCCATTCTGTAGCCCACGGGCCAAAGAGTAATTTCAATTTTCAGGTCTTATTATTTAAGAAATACATTTCATAAGGTTATAGCTGCCATAGATAGCAATTACATTGATCTGGGAAAAGCAAATGGAAAACCTTCTGGAAGGATTCACCATTAAGAACATTCAGATTCGGGCGCCTGGGTGGCTCCGTTGGTTGAGCGACTGCCTTCGGCTCAGGTCATGATCCCGGAGTCCTGGGATTGAGTCCTACATTGGGCTCCAGGCTCAGCGGGGAGCCTGCTTCTCCCTCTGACCCTCTCCCCTCTCATGCTGTTTTTCTCTCGCTTGCTCTCTAATAAATAGATATATAAAATCTTAAAAAAAAAAAAAAGAACATTCTGATTCATGAGGAGGGGTCAAAGTATCAACCTTAACAGGGTTTTGGAAGAAGTTGATCCCAACCCTCATGAATGACTTTCAGGGGTTCCAGCCTTCAGGGGAAGAAGTAACAGCAGGTGTGGCAGAAACAGCAAGAGAACCAGAATTAGAAGTGGAGTCTGAAGATGGGACTGCATTGCTGCAATCTTATGATAAAATTTGAGTGGAGGAGTTACTTTTTAAGGATGAGCAAAGAAAGGGGTTTCTTGAGATGGAATCTACTGGTGAAGATGCTGTGAAGATTGTTGAAATGACAACAGAGCTTTTATTTTATTTTATTTTATTTTTTTAAAGATTTTATTTATTTGAGAGAGAGAATGAGAGA